TACTGATAGTGTGACCTTCATCAAGATCTTCCCGGTGGTATGTCCTATTTGAAAACGTTCACTTTTTATTACTTAAAAAATAGACAAATTACATCTAATTGTATTGTCTTCTTCATATGGTTACCATCTATGTGTACATATACATATACATACACATACATATACACACAGCAGTGCCTAGAACAAGGAATGTAGCTTTTACAATGTGAACATAAACTGGAGAAAGATAAATGGGCCAGCCGAATTCAGTGCTGTTGTGAGTGTTGTAAGAGAGATCAATAGTCTTTTGTTTTCTTTTCTTTAGATCTCACTTTCCCATTTTCAAAAATTTTCTACTTGTATATGTACATGTATATATATATATATATGAATATGTATGTGTATTTATATATATTAAAAATGCCCAGTTGAAAATTAAAACCAAAAAGATTAAGTTTTGTTAAAATTTAATGTTACATTGGGTAATGCAGGATAAGATGCCTCTCTGGATTTCATTGAACGACAAGACAAGAGTGATAAAGATGGAGGCAGGTGAGTTGGGATTGACTTAGTGAGAGAGACTGCATGCAGATTGAAAATTTTTTTACCTCAATCCAGACTTCATCCACTCTCATTAAATTTCTTATAATATATCATAATGAAACTATATAATATATAAATATATATACACACTATATTTATTTATTAAGGATAAGAATTTGTCTTTACACAATTTTGTAATTTTTCAGCAGACCTTTTATGCCCTTCTAATTAAAAAAAAAAAAAAGTGTATTTATATATGTTTGTTCTCTTGAGAGGGTATATATATATATTTTTTAATAAATTCATAAAATTAGTAATTATATAATACAAATATACCATCCATTATATACCTTTAAATGAAGATACATATTGTCTGACTTGAATTTACCAATTTGTAGGACATGAGAAAATTTTTTGCAACATTTTTCACGCTTTTCAACATTTAATTCATGAAAATGCACAAACACCCGAATCTCATCTTTTATACCTCTCCAAAGCCCATAATTTCATTACACAAAACAAGATCGCCAGATGGACCATATATATATATATATATATGAATGTATGTATGTATGTAGAAGACTAATCAAAAAGAGAAGTGCGTAGTACCCCACCAAAATCACCATTAATTTTGACTGTAAACTTTCCTCACCCCCACCAATGTAATCCGTTAACATAGAAGAACGGGAAAGCAAGAAAAGAGAAAGAAAGAAGTTAACAAGAAAGAAAAAAGAAAGAAGAAGAAGAAAAGGACGAAGGAAGAAGAAGAAGAAGAAGAGGCCAACAAAAACCAGACATGCATGAAACAAGGACCATTTCTGCTGATCACATCACATGCTTCTAGCCAGCATTTCTTGAAATCTCCTGTACGATTCTTGCTTCTCCAGTCTGAATTTTTCATGGCAGTCTGCAATAAACATGTCAGCGAGCCGATCAATCTCGTTCATTTTATCTTCCTCCTTCGCCGTACAATCTCCGTTATTAACCTTCTCTTCAAGCCACTGAAGATACCCAGAAAGCTCACGAGACTCTCCTCCATCTTCGCATTGCTGATGACTACGATCAGTTGAAACAACTGAATTCCAATTACAGTCATAGTAAAGATGAGTTGCAGAGAGTGATCCGTCAAGAACAGGGGCCGGAACAGGAAGAACATGGGAAGAACACCAGTTATAGTGTAGCCTAAACGACCCGAAGAATATCTTTTTCTGCTTCTTCGTCGCCTTTTTAGGGTAAAAAGAGTAGCGTCTGCTCGGTCTGTTTTCTCTTAGAACTTGAACCAGAATGGCTTTGGCTTTCGACAGAGCTCGAACCATACGACAGACGTGGGAGATAATGAGAGTGTGGATTAGGGTTTTGATCTTCATGTAACTTAAGGTTGAGGAAGACGGAGACTGTGACTTGTTCGTCGAGAAAACTTGCAGAGGGGTCTGGAAGGTTTTTAGGTAGGAGCTGGAGGAGGAAGAAGAAGAAGAAGAAGAAGAAGAAGAAGAAGAGGAGTTGGTACAGGCCATGTTTAATTTTCGCCGAGCATTGTTTGAAATCTAAGTTATAATAAATAAGCGAACCTCATAAGGAACTGAAATTACCAATTTACCCCTCAACTTTTAGTTTATTTAAAAAGGAATGCCATTCCGCTTTGCAGATTTTGGGTCTGTAATTTTTTTTTTTTTTCTGGATTTACAGTTGATAAAGGCATAAGTCTTGTTTGGATGTGCACATATAAAATGTGGAAATGATTTTAAAAAATTAATTAAAGTTCCCAGTAATTAAAACCAAGCTTAGAGCTAAAGTAAAGACTAAAATTAAATTAATCAGTTAATTAATATTAAATAAGACCAAATTGATTTGGTAAATCGGATTCCATGCTTCGTGGGTCAGTAGTCTCAGTCCTGTTAATTCGATTTCTTTAATTGGGTCAGTAATTAAAAATTTTCCTAGTAATTAACTTGCTAACGACAAGTTTCTTCCACGCAAAGAAGGGATTTAATTAAAATTATAGAATATAAACTGACTTAATTAAGTAATTAACAAATTATTTAATACTGTTTGGTCCGTCATCATTATAAATGGTACAAAAAAATTGTGTCTTTGACCGGTAAAAGTATCGATCCAAAGGTTCTTCGCCACAAGACCCGCTTCCTATTTTTTGAAGTTTTTATTATTTTTATTTTTTGCAATTATATAAAATATTTTTATATAAAAAAATACAATTTTATGTATGGGAAAATATATACGTATATGATTTTAATAATTATATATCTGAAGGACAAAGGTTTTCTTTTATTGGGTTGATGAAAAAAAAAAAAAAAAAAAAGGAGTTACACGTGTATTTTGGTGTAGACATAATAATTACTTATTTTAAAAAATATTTATTTAAATTATAATTACTTAATTTAAAAACGAATTAAAAGCATGACTGTGAACAGTCTATTTTTTGATATTATATTTAATAAATAAAAAGTATATTATATTTTAGTTATTAAAAATTAAAAAAAGAAGATGACGTCAGCGGACGGATAAGGTTTAGTGAAAAACAGAAAATAATTCTAAAGGATTTTTTTTAATTACAGTAAGCAACTCGAGAACGGCAAGTAAGGCTTAAGGTACGGTTAAAATTATCAACCCCAATGAATTATATATATATATATATAATGTGATTTAATTAATTATAATAATATATATTCCTTTGAAATCTAACATTTAACTACTTTGCCACTATTTCTTAGTGTGTGTGTGTGTGTGTATATATATATAGGCTCTAAAATTGAATGTCGTTTACTTAATAAATCTCATTTGTTTGCACAAAAAGTAACACAAAAGGACAAGCTAATTTTGTGTTTAATTTGCTAAATTCCTGGAAATTTTCCTGTATAATATAATTTTTTATAAAAAAAATATATAAAGTGTCATAATTATTTATAAAGATATATTGAGACGAACATCAGTTTCACCAAAACATTATAGTCATTAGATACTGGCTAATTCAAATAATTAATTATTTATAACTGTAACACCTGAAAATTAGACGATCATAATTTAACATTGAGATCTAATGGCCTAAAGTCACAGAAAAACCCCATGTATAAGCTCCCTTTTAATCCTCATATAAACCCTAGCCTCCATTTAACCAGAGAAGAAGCCAATGACCGGTGGCCCAATGGAAGAGGAACTTATTTGTATAGGACATGTAAGGCTTGAAATGAGAAATATAACAATAATAATAATAATAATGTTATGGCTCCTGAACCTAAATAACAATGAAATTAAAACAAAGAAAAATAATAAAAAGGGTTGGCCTAAATAAATAAAAGGGATATTAATGAGGTGAGTGATCGGTTGCCAAGAATGGCAAAGTGGGGTAAATGTGTGGCTGTGTGATGGTCGATGGGTGCCAATGATGGCGAAACAGTGTGTGTGTGTGGCCTTGCAGTGGCCGGTGAGTGCCAGAGTGGTGGAACAGTGTGTGTATGGGCTTGAGGTGGCCGCTGAATGCCAGGATGGCAGAACAGTGTGTGTGTGGCCTTGCGGTGACCAGTGAATGCCAGGGTGGCAGAACAGTGTATGTGTGGCCTTGCAGTGGCCGGTGAGTACCAGGGTGGCAGAACAGTATGTGTGTGGTCTTGAGGTGGCCGGTGAGTGTCAGGGTGACAGAACAGAGTTATGTGTGGCTGTGTGATGGTCGCGGGTGCCAATGATGGCAGAATAGTATAGGTGTGTGACCGTTACGGTCGAGTGTGAGTCTCGTTTGTTAGTAGTATCGTACGTTTCTCTTAGTTAAAGGCATATAGAGGTGATGGTGTATGGTAGGTTGTACATACTAGGTGAACAAAGGGGCAAATGTGTGATGGTATTGCACAATAAAACAACGGTGTCCTCTTGTGAAGAAAATGGATGACATGATAGAAATCTTACTTAATAACATTAGTGTATAGATTCACTCAGGATATGGTAAGGAATGCTCACTTGTACTAAATACAAATGTAGGTTAACATGTTAAATGTCTCTTACTGGACTTTTATAGCTCACACTTTTTTTTTGTCTTACACAATAGGAAATTCAAGAACGAGTTCAAGACCAGATAAGGCGATGGCGGGACCCCAAAACATATGGGAATTGTCCCATCTACTGTTAGAATAAACTCAATTTTTCAAATATCAAGATATTATCTCGTTCAGTGAATAAAATAATTTTCATGGAGCCGTTTTTAGATTCTATATTTTATTAGATGTCTAGGACTAGTATTTGGTTAAAATGATGATTACATTTTCCCTAAAAATACGGGTCGTTACAACAACACATAACAATATACATCTACATAATTTTGTTGTCTCACGTATTGTAATTTAATGTTATAATTATACAAGGGATAAATAATTATATAGATTTGTATTTTTATGTGCTGCGAATGACTAAATATTTGAATT